TCTTGATCTCTTTGGTAACCCACTCATTATTTAATAACATGCTATTTAGCCTCCATGTGTTTGAATGTTTTGGGTGTTTTTTATTGTAGTTGATTTCTAGTTTTGTGCCACTGTGATCTGAGAAGATGCTTAATATGATTTCAATATTCTTGAACTTGTAGAGACTTAGTTTGTGTCTAACATGTGGTCTTTTTAAAAAATATATATTTTTATTGATTTCAGAGGGGAAGGGAGAGGGAGAGAGACAGAAATATCAATGATGAGAGAGAATCATTGATCGGCTGCCTCCTGCACACCCCACACTGGGGATCAAGCCCGCAACTTGGGCATATGCCCTGACCGGGTATAGAACGATGACCTTCTGGTTCATAGGTCATGCTTAATCACTGAGCCATACTGGCTGGGCTGTCTTTGAAAATGTCCCATGTACACTTGAGAAGAATGTGTACACCCTATTGCCTTAGGGTGATATGTTCTGTAAATGTCAATTAATTCCATCTGATCTAGTATGTCATTTAGGATTACTGTTTCTCTGTTGATTTAGATCTTTATCCAATGATGTCAGTGGGGTGTTGAAGTCTCCTACTATGACTTTATTGCTGTCCATCTCTCCTTTAAAATCCTCCAGGAGATTTAAAATATATTTTGATATATGTTTACCAGAGTTACTATATCCTCTTGTTGTATTGGTCCCTTTAGTATTTTGAAGTGGCCTTCGTTGTCTCTTGTGGCCTTTACTTTGAAACCTATTTTGTCAGATATGAGTATTGATACCCCAGTGGTTTGTTGTTTGTTTTTTTCATTAATATTTGCCTGGAAAAATTTTTTCCATCCCTTCATTTTCATTCTGTATGAGTCTTTGGTTCTGAGGTGAGTTTCTTGTGGACTACATATTTATGGGTCATGTTTCCTTATCCATTCATCTATTCTATGCCTTTCCTTTTGATTGGAACATTTAAGCCATTTACATTTGAGGTTGTTATTGATAGATACTTATTTGTTGCCTTTCTTACTCTTTATATCTTTATACCTGTGTTCTTCTCTTCCTCTCTATTTCTTCTTCTTACATCAGTCCCTGTAGCATTTCTTGCAGGGCTGGTTTGGTGGTGGTAAATTCTTTTAGCCTTTTATTGCCTGCGAAGATCTTTGTTTCACCTTAGATTTTTTTTAATGATAGCCTTGGTGGATAGAGTAGTTTTGGGTTCAATCCCCTGGTTTTCATTACTTTGTATACTCCATGCCACTCCCTTCTGGCCTGAAGTGTTGCTGTTGAGAAATCAGCTGACATTCTACTGGGAGTTCCCGTGTAGGTAACATTGTGTCTCTGTCTTGTAGCCTGGAAAGGTGGGCATCTCCTCTGTATTCGGGTAGTCTTGGTCTCAGGGGACCAACCCTGCATGGGTAAGTGGTGGGTGATAATGTTCCAAATCCATGAAATCCCAGTGCTATCCCCTGCAGCCAGATGCTGTTAGCAGTGCAGCTGGATGGGTGGGGGTTGGGTGAACTGATGGCTGTACAGTGCCTTTGTTGTTTTGTTTTCCCAGTAATGGTGACTGGCATTCATCAGTGGCCTCCCCCCCTGTATTTCCATCCAATATTGGGATTAGCCTATCACTCAGGGAAAAATGTTTCTCTTGTACCAGTTCTCAGGTTTGTAGATAATGTGCTTTGCAACCTGACTCACTGATATGGCTTCTTCTAGGGTCTGCTTCTGTCTCTGGGGAGATGAGTGGAGGTGGGCTCTGGGAGTGTGAGGGGAGGGGGTCAGGTTCTGTTGCTTTGTTTTCTGTCTGGAATTGACAGATAACCGTGGCTGCATCTCTGTGCTTTGTCCCTGCCTAGGTTACTGGGTTCAGCTGCATAAAGTCCTGGCCACTCCCACAAAAATACTCACTGTATCAACTCCCAGCTGAAGGGAGAGCCAGTGGCAACCTGATTCCTCTCCTCTCTGAGTGTGTCCTGCAGTGAGCTCTGTGCTGGGAGCCCCAGGCTGCCTCCCTAGTATTATCTCAGCTCTTCTCCCTTCCCATCTCCCTAGTTTGCTTCCACTTGCCCACCTGCAGATGTTTATTTTTTAAATTTTTTATTGAATTTATTGGGGTGACATTAGTTAATAAAATGATATGAGTTTCAAGTGTACAGTTCTATAATATGTCAACTGTACTTTGTGTTCACCACCCAAAAGCAGGTCTCCTTCTGTCCCCATGTATCATCACCTCTTTACCATCTTATTACCCCTTTCCTTCTGGTAATCACTAAACTGTTGTCTGTGTTTGTGATTTTTTTTTTTTTTTTACTTAATCCCTTCAGATGTTTCAATGTGACATGTTGTGTATTGAGCAGGGAATTCTTTGTTGAATTATAGCTGTTCAATTTGTTGAAACCTCAAGGAGCGAGCCCATGGGGACCTCATATGCCACTATCCTTCTGGCATCCAGTGGTGACTTTTTTTTTTAACTTTCGGGTAAACCACTGCAGATTGACCTGTCATTTGTCATGATGTAGTAATTCAGGAAATTACTCAAGATGATTCTCCTCCTCCTCCTCCTTCTCCTTCTTCCTTTTTTAAGAACAGGCTGCTCCTAGAGAGGCATACCATATATTTCTAGATAGGAATAATTATTAATGAATCCTAATTTAATTTATAAATATTATGCTATCATAGGCACAGTCCCAGTGGATTAATTTTGGGATAACATGACAAAGATGTTCCAAAATTAATCTGGAAGTATGAGCAAGCAAAAATAGATAAGAATACTGAACAAGTTAATGACAGAACTTTTTGACCATTTAAACATTAAACCATTGAAATAAACAAACAGACCTAAATTTTCTTATTGTAAGTTTGGGTCTCAGATCTTTCAGAATATTTTAAAATGTAGAATAAGACTCTCCCAGGGTTCTTTTCAAATGTTAACTGGACTTGACAGAACAGTGGGAAGATAGGGAGAAAGAGAGGTGGGATGGGCAGGTAGCATATAGAACGGTAGAGCAAGACCTCATCTGGCTTGGGCTTGCTGCCTCCCTTGACAGTGCCATCTTATTATAAGGGGAGTTGAAATATAATAGAAGGAGAAAGAGCATGGAAAAGATTTGGGCAGGATACTGCGTTGAATGTGCTTCCAGGTAGTAGACCACTGATAGCTAATACATTAGAATTTCTAGGTAGATTCTTTCTCATACATGTTTATCTCTCCAAATTGTTTTTTGTTTTCTTTTGTTTGGCTTTTCCCAGATTCTGTTGGAAAGCAGTAAAGTTCATAAGTAATGTTTTGTAGACTATATTTCATTGGAAAGCTTTCCTGAAAGTTCTCATTAGAAAAAGAAGGCAAGCAGTAGTAATCTTTCTGCAAAGACAAAGGACACAAAGAAATTTAATGATTTTCTTCTTAATGTGTTTTTGTTTTGTTTTGTTTTGTTTTGTTTTGTTTTGTTTTGTTTTGTTGGTTTTTTGGTGCTAGAGACAGAAATAGGCAGGCAGCAGTGGAATTGTTAGGTCAGAGGTTGTGTGTATTAGGACTTTTAACAGATGTTGCTAAACTGCCCTCAGTAGAGATGGTACCCACCTCTGGGCCCCCAATAATGTCAGAGAGTGTATCTCTCCCCCCACTTTGACCAGCGCACTGTGGCACACATTTTGGTATCTTTCAGTCTGATAGAGCATCTTGGTGAAATAATAATTTGCATTCAGTTATCATGACTAAGGTTTGAGCATTGTTCAACCTATTTAAGAGTCACCTGAATTTCCTATTCTGGGAATTCAAGAACACATAATAGATGAAATAGACCTTTAACCCTTTTCGGTCCAACGTCGAGGCTGACTCAACAGACCAGGCGCTAGGAGCAGGTCCAACGTCGAGGCTGAGGTCGACACCGCAAACCGGTTCAACATTCAATCACATCAATTAATTTGGACCAGACTGTTTGAGTTCCAAAAATAAAATTGGACCTCAAAGGGTTAAGGTGTAGTCCAACTGCTCAGCCTACAAATGAGGAACCTGTTTGGCCATGGTCACTTGGCTAGTCTTTGACTGAAGCAGAACCAAACACACCAGGGCTCCTAGTTATTATAAAAGCTCTTTGGGTGACAGTAAGGATTTGTAAAGGTCTCTGTGGCCGTCTGGGGTTTGTTTCTAGAATTAGAAAGTCTGGAAATTACAGTGCAATGTCACAATGACTTGACTGTAAGGACAAGTGTTTTTAGCCACCCTGAACTTCGGGTACCTCATCTGTAAAATGGAATTAAGGAATTAATGCTAGTTTTTTTGTCAAGGTCTCAAGGATTAGGGTTAATGTATATAAAGTAGCTGACACGAGTAGGCTCACCACTGTTACCACCTTCCTCATATTTGTGCATTCTTTTTGTTTGTTTGTTTAAATTAAGGCAGAACAGTTTTTATGTTTTTATTTTTATTGATTTTACAGAGAGGAAGGGAACAGGATAGAGAGTTAGAAACATTGATGAGAGAGAAACATCGATCCTACTGGGGATCGAGCCCGCAACAAAGGTACATGTCCTTAACCATAATCAAACCCTGAACCCTCAAGTCTGTGGGCCAGCACTCTATCCACTGAGCCAAACTGGTTAGGGCTATTTATGCATTTTGCTATCTGACTTGCCCACTCTCATTTAAGCTCCAAGGGAGACTATAAATCATCACACCCGTACTGACTCCCAGAGATTTGAGACGAAAGATAATTCACTTTATCACTCTGTTTTTTAGGGTTTGTCTTTCAGCAAGGTCCCTTTTTCAGATTTCCAGGAGACAGCAAAAGCTTCCATATTTCAAACGGAAAGAGCTGTGTGTGGGCCAGGTTTTAACCCACTTTTAAGTAGGAAGGAGAAATGGGAAAAGAAAAGGGAGGGAAATTCCTGAAAACATGTTATTTTAAAAATATATATATTTATTGATTTCAGAGAGAAAGGGAGAGGGAGAGATATAAACATCAATGACAAGAGAGAAGCATTCATCAGCTGCCTCCTGCACACCCCACATTGGGGATGGAGCCTGCGACCCAGACATGTGTCCTGACTGGGAATGGAACTGTGACCGCCTGGTTCATAGGTCGACACTCAACCACTGAGCCACTCCGGCTGGGCAAAACATGTTATTTTAAACACACAGCCCAGATGATCATCTCAGCTGATATTAGGATTGCCAATAGTCAAGGTATTTTAAATGGGTGTTATTTCACCGTTATTATATATACTAATAAAAGGCTAATATGCTAATTAGACTGGACATCCTTCCGGACAAAGCCATGGTGGCGGGGCCAAGGCAGAGGCGGTTAGGGGTGATCAGGCCAGCAGAGGAGAGCAGTTAGGGGGATCAGGCTGGCAGGGGAGAGCAGTGAAGGCGATCAGGCTGGTAGGCAGGTGAGCGGTTAGGAGCCAGTGGTCCCGGATTGTGAGAGGGCTGTCCAAATGCTGGATTGCGAAAGGGATCCCGGATTGGAGAGGGTGCTGGCCGGGCTGAGGCCCACCCCCTCCTCCCCCCGCCCAGTGCATGAATTTCATGCACTGGGCCACTAGTTCATAATAATAATCACCATGCTTAAGCCTTTTTATATTTTAAAAGAAAATAAGATCAAATGCAGAGCTGGGTCCACAGGGGTTGCCACAGCCTTCCCTTCCCCGATGCCATGGAAGGCCTCTGCCCTCTCCCATGAGCTCTGAGCAGTCGTTTTCATTATCATCTTGGACTTCTCCTTCAGATGAAAGAGCTGAAGAGGCATCTTTAGTCCACTTTTGTCACCTCTGGTTACCTCACTCATCCTGCCATTGCCTGCCCAAGTCTTAGTTAAAATAAGGTGGCATTTCTAACAGTTCTGAAAAATGAAGGGGAAAGTTAATTCTTAGGGACCTCTGCTTTACTCTCTAGTATTTTTCCAAGTGTGGCTCTCTGACCATCTGTACCTGATCTCTTGGATGCCTGTTGGAAATTCAGATTCTTAGCCTCCCCTCTCCTATAGACTTACTTTATCTTTTTAAAAATTTATCTTTACTGTTGAAAGTATTACAGATGTCCCACTTTTTCCCCATTGACCCCCTCCATTCCACACCCATCTCTACCCTCTGCCCCCACCCAAGCCTTCACCACACTATTGTCTGTGTCCATGAATTATGCATATAAGTTCTTTGGTTAATCTCTCCCCACCCACCTTCTGAGATTCATCGGTCTCTTCTATGCTTCTAAGTCTCTGGATCTATTTTGTTCATCAGTTTATTTTGTTCATGGTGAATCAGGATCTCTTGGGGGTAAATCCTAGAAATACCCATTTTCAACAAGCAGTTTCAGGAGTACATTAAAGTTTGGAACCACTGTTATTCCTTACTAGTTTCTTATTTCTTTTCCTTCTTTCTCCTGTTTCCTCTTATCTTCCCCTTTTCTTTTCTCATTCCCTGCACACCTGTTTGCTCCCTGTTTCCGCCTTCTTAATGCTAAGGGTTCAGAGTCGCCTGTTGAACTGTTCTTCTAATATAATAACTATAAGTCCTCTGGAAACTCAGTTAGGAGGGGGGGGGGAAATGTATGTATTTCTTACTGTCTTGCTTGTCCCCATAAAAGATGGTTATATACAAAGCTATCCTCTCTGAGTCCCAGCTTTTGGAAGTGCATCATTCTTTCAAGTACACAGAAGTATGATATTCACAGCTATATCCCAGTGTAGGGAATGGTCTTTGGGGATTGGAAATGGTCTTCTTTATAGAAACATCACTGGCATGATGTCCCAGGAAAGTCAGCCACCACCAGCCTCAGAATCATACACTGGTCTAGGTATCCTTGCTGGAGGGCACAAGGTAGTAAAGGCATTTGGGGAGCATGTGGTCAACAGGACAGGAAATAGTAGAGAAGGAAGTGGGACTGGCCAAGTGGAGCATCTGCGTGGAGTTTGGGGCAGGTGCCTCCAGGGTCCTGAACCTCTATTTTTTTTTTGTCTTCACAGCCACTGAAGAAGAGACCAAGATGAATGCAGAGGTGAGTTCTTTAAAAGTTCCAGTTTAAAGAATGCTTTTCTTGCAGTGTTCCTCATTTTTCCTTCACAGAGTGTCTTCTTTTCCTACAGAGCTTTCAGAAACATCAAACATCACCACAAACTCAAAAACATTCCCCCTCCAACATAGCTCTGGGTGATATGGGAAGAGTTAGGCCCATCTGCATTCTATTTTTTAAAAATTGATTTTTAGAGAGAGGAAAGGAGAGAGAGCAAGAGAGAGAAACATTGATGTGAGAGAGGAACATCGACCTGTTGCCTCCTACATGTATCCCGACCAAGGATTGAACTCACAACCTGGATATGTGCCTGGATATTGAACCTGTCACCTTTTGGTGTAGGGAATGGCACTTCAATCAACTGGGCACTTTGAGTCTTTTAAGGAATATGACTAATTCATCCAAATTGTTGAATTTCTAGCTATAAAGGTATTCATAATAGTCTCGTATTATCCTTTCAATATTTGTTAATTCTGTGTTAGTGTCCTTTTCCTCACTTTTGATATTTTTTCTGAGCTGCCTGGAGAGATAATCTCAAAAAACAATAAATACAGAACAACCATCATGCAGACACCTACTACACAGGACCATTCTACCAGTTCCAGAAGACATAGTAGCTCTACTTAATACATAGAAACAAACACAGGGAAGCAGCCAAAATGAGGAGGCAAAGAAACATGTCACAAATGAAAGAAATGGAAGCAAGCTAACTACTGGGTACAGAGTTCAAAACCATGGTTATACAGTTACTTAAGGATCTTCATGAGAACCTCAAGGTACTTAGTGAGACTTTCAAGGATCTCAGTGATAATGTCAAAGACATGAAAAACGACCACAGAAATTAAGCATACACTAACTAAAATAAAAATAATTTACAGGGATTCAATAGTAGAGGATTCTAAATCAACGATTTAGAATATGAGGATGCAAAAACACTCAATCAGAAGTGTGCCGCACCAATACAGCCAGGTTCGGTGAGCCTGAGAGGGGGCAGTGAAAGATTAAGAAAAGACAGACAAGAGAATAAGGGTGGGTCTGGGTGAGATGTTGCCCTCTCTGATGGACAGTGCCACAGCCTGCAAGCCGAGTCTTTATTTTATAGCCAGATTCTATAAGGCAAAGTAAGGGCGTGATCAAGATCTTTACAACATTCTTGTGGCTTTCGAATCTACTCAATTACAGGCAGGTGATCAAGTTTTGTTTACTTGCTGCACCTCAGGCAGCCCATATCACTTAGCCAACTGGGAGCTGCTGTCCACAAGAAGAGAAAAAGGAAAAAAGAATCTAAAAATATGAAGATAGTGTAAGGAGCCTCTAGGACAGTGGTTCTCAACCTTCCTAATGCCGTGACCCTTTAATACAGTTCCTCATGTTGTGGTGACCCCCAACCATAAAATTATTTTCATTTGCTACTTCATAACTGTAATTTTGCTACTGTTATGAATCGTAATGTAAATATCTGACATGCAAGATGCATTTTCATTGTTACAGATTGAACATAATTAAAGGATAGTGATTAATCACAAAAACAATATGTAATTATATATGTGTTTTCTGATGGTCTTAGGCGACCCCTGTGAAAGGATCATTCGATCCCCAAATGGGTCGCGACCCACAGGTTGAGAACCGCTGCTCTAGGACAACTTCAAGCATACCAACATTCACATTATGGGGGGGCCAGAAGGAGAAGAGAGAGAGAGCAAGACATTGAAAACCTATTTGAAGAAATAATGACAGAAAACTTCCTCTACCTGGTGAAAGAAATAGATTTACAAGTTCAGGAAGCACAGAGAGTCCCAAACAAGAGGAACCCAAAAGGCCTGCACCAAGACACATCATAATTAAAAGGGTTAAAGACAAAGAGAGAATCTTACAAGCAGCAAGAGAAAAGCTGTTAGTTACCTACCAAGGGAGCTCCAGTATGACTGTTAGCTGATTTCGCAACAGACACTTTGCAGGCCAGAAGGGAGTGGCACAAAATATTCAAAGTGATGACTAGCAAGGACCTACAACCAAAATTACTCTAGCCAGTAAAGCTCTCATTTAGATTGAAGGTCAGATAAAGAGCTTCACAGACAAGGAAAAGCTAAAGGAATTCACCACCACCAAACCAGTAATGACATGAAATGTTGAAGGGTATTCTTGAAGAAAATGGAGGAGGAAGCTGAGGAGGAGAGGAAGAGGAATAAAATAGAAAAAGTAGGGACAATAAAATGGCAATAAATGCATATATATCCACAATTGAATCTAAAAATAAAAATAAATGAACAAGGAATCTAATAAACAAAATAAACTGGTGGATAAAATAGAATCAGAGGCATGGAAACATGGAACTGACTGTCAATCTCAGAGGGAAGGGGAAAGGGTGGCCTGAAAGAGATTACCCATGGTCACAAACAATAGGGTGATGAAAACCTGGGGTGGGGGTGGGGATGGGGGACCACATGGAAGGGGGCAATGGGGTACAAAATGGGTGATATCTGTAATATTCTCAACAATAAAGGCTTAAAAAAATTAAGGAAATGAGCAACCTGTCCTGGCTAGTGTTGCTCAGTGTTTAGAGCATTGGCCCACTCACCAAAGGGTTGAGTGTTCAATTCCTGGTCAAGGAACATACCCAGGGCACATACCTGGGTTTCAGGTTCAATCCCTGGCCCCTATTGGGGGGCATACAGGAGGCAGCCAGTCAATGTGTCTCACATCAATGTCTCTCTCTCTCTCTCCCTCTCTCTATCTCGATCTCTATCTCTATCTCTATCTCTATCTCTATCTCTGTCTCTCATTTTCTTTCTCCCCCCTCTTCCCTCCATTACACTCTTTAAAAATCAATGGAGAAAATATCCTTGGGTGAGGATTAACAACAACAAAAAAGAAATGAGCAAGCTGTGTACATATAGTATATTCCAACTATGCCTAGTAAATAAGTTGAGCCTATAGTTAAAAACCTTTCTTCAGAGAGAAATTGTGCTAGATTGAAAATGCAGGTTGCTATGATGTGAAATGCCTGTGCACAGAGACCTTTGTCAGGGAACTGCAGGTGGCTTCCAGGAGCTGAGGGCCTCTCCTACAATCATGAGGTCATCTGAATTCTGCTGGCAACCACACAAGCTTAGCAGAGATCCTTGAGCTGTGGATGAGAACATAACTTGGTCAGCCTTGTGAAATCTGAGCAGAGGACCCAGTTAAGCCATGTTCAGATTCCTTACCCAACAGAGAATGTGAGATAATAAATTTGGCAACGGATCATAGATTGGTGTACTGGGCAGACTCCTTCCCCATAATTTATAGCTGAAAGACATTGTCAGAAAACAGGATGAGCATCAAATGGTTTATCATTTTTGTACTCAGTGAATTCCCATTTCCCTCATACACAGCACCAATAGAGAAAGTCATTCAACATTGGCATCCAGCAGCAATTCTAGCTCAAATTATTCAAAATCAACCACTCCATCATCTAATCAAGAAATATTGTCTAGAACTGTCAGTTCTCCCTCAGAAGGACTGAGGCAACATTGCGTTCTACATAAAAACCATGCCCTGTAGGCTAATCAGTTCCCACATTCAATGCAAAGAAATATAGACAACTAGTTTCTTGGGCAAGCTCTTCTAGCTAGATTCCTAGTGTAGCCAGCTTTCAACCAATGCAGATGCTGTGGTGGCTAATTCTTATTATGCTCTATTATGTGCAATTTCAAGCCACAGGCAACAACAAATGCCAGCCCAGCCCACCCTATTGCTTCACAGTTTCTGAAGCTGGCACATGTCCCTGGAGAATAATACCCACCAGCCCCAAACCTAGTAGCTCAAGAAAATTAACACACGAATGTCAGTGTTCAAATGAATGCACAGGGAGGTCCAGTGCTAAATGAAGAAGTCAGTTGAGACTTGCTAGACTGGATGTACACTCCCAGGAGCTGCAGTTCTCTTTAGCATTGACCATGTTTTTTCTTCTCTAGTCAGCTCATTATGGTAACGGAAGATGTAGTACTGGTTTACGTACAGCAAATTGGATGATTTCCTATTAGGAAAGAAGGAGGTCAGCAGCAGTCTCCTTATAATAACGCCAAAGTTAACAATAATGGGAAACTGTCTAAAACTTGAAGAAATGGGTCATTTTATGAGTGATGGGCTTGACAGTGAGGGTGGGGAAGTATAGGTGAAGATGCCGGTGCAAATCAAAGCCCTGGATTGTAGGCTTCAACGTGGTCTTTTAGCACTGCCTTCTTTTTCAATCACAGTCAGTTTATATTCAACATTATTTTGTATTAGCTTCAAGTATATAGCATAGTGTTTAGACAATTGTATACTCATGTGTCCCCCCAATATTTCTAGTACCCACCTGGCACCATACATAATTATTACAATACTAGAGGCCTGGTGCATGAATTCATGCACCACTGGGGTCCCTCTGCCTGGCCTATGGGATCAGGCCAAAACTAGCTCTCCGACATCCCCCGAGGGGTCCTGAATTGCAAGAGGGTGCAGGCCAGCCTGAGGGACCCCACTGGTGCTTGATCAAGGCCGGGGAGGGATGTGGGAGGTTGATCAGCTGGGGAGGGGCCACATGAGGGCTCCAGGGTGTGTCTGGCCCATCTCTCTCAGTCATAATTGGCCAGACCCCAGCAGCAAGCTAACCTACCAGTCGGAGCATCCTCCCCCTGGTGGTCAGTGCACATCATAGCGACTGGTCAACTGGTAGACTGTCTGCCCCCTGGTGGTCAGTGAACATCATAGCAAGCAGTTGAGCTGTCTTAGCATATCATTAGCATATTACACTTTGATTGGTTGAATGGATCACTGGATGACCAGACACTTAGCATATTAGGCTTTTATTATATAGGATTTGAATTGCACATGTAAGTACAATCATATAAAATTTGTCTTTCTCTGACTTGTTTCACTTAGCAAAATACCCTCTAGGTCTATTCATGCTGTTGCAAATAAGATTTCATTCTTTTTTTATAGCCTAGCAGGATTCCATCATGTATATGTACCACAACTTTTTTATTCACTCATCTATTGATGGGCACATGGGTTGTTTTCATATCATGGCTATTGCAAATAATGCTTTGATGAAAATGGGGGTGTGTATATTCTTTTGAATTAGTGTTTTGGGTTTCTTTGGTTATATACCCGGAAGTGGAATTACCATGTCATAAGGCAATTCCATTTTGAATTTTCTGAGGTATTGCTACATGGTTTTCCATAGTGGTTGCACCAATCTGCATTCACACCGACAGTGCAATAGGGTTTTCTTTTCTCCATATCACCATCAACACTTGTTGCTTGTTGATTTATTGATAATAGCCCTTCAGACAGGTATGAGATGGTATCTCATTTTGGTTTTGATTTAAATTTCTCTGATGACTAGTGGTGTTGAACATCTTTTCATATGCCTATTGGCTAGTGGGTATATTCTCTTTGGAGAAGTATCTATTTAGGTTTTCCTGCCCATTTTTCAATTGGATTGTTTGTTGTTGTTTTCTGGAGCTGAGTTGTATCAGTTCTTTATATTTTTTGGATACTAACCCCTTGATGGAGCTGTTGTTTGCAACTATCTTCTTCCATTCGGGTGGTTGCCTTTTTGTTTTGTTGGCAGCTCCATTTGCTGTGCAGAAGTTTGTTAGTTTAATATAGTCCCACTCATTTATTTTTGCTTTACTTTCTTTTGGGGTCAAATTCATAAAATCCTCTCTAAGACCAAGGTCCATACGATTAGTACCTATGTTTTCTTCTATGGAATTTATTTTTTCAGGTCTTAAATTTAAGTCTTTGATCCTTTTTGAGTTAATTTTGTAAATGGGGACAAACAGTAGTCTAGTTTCATTCTTTGCATTTGCTTTCCAATTTTTCCAGCACCACATAGCGAACAGCCTTTTTCTTTTTCAATGTATTTTTTTTTGGGGGGGGCTCCTTTGTCAAAAGTTATTTGTCCATATGTATGTTAGTTTCTTTCTAGGCTCTCAATTCTGTTCCATTGTTCTGTGTGTCTGTTCTTCTGCCAATACTATGCTGTTTTGATTATTGTCATTTTGTAGCATAATTTGAAGTCAAGGAGTTTGATACCTCCAGCTTTGCTCTCTTTTCTCAGGATTGCTTTGTCTATTTGGGGTCTTCTGTAGTTCTATACAAATCTGATAAATTTTTTATCTACTTCTTTTAAAAATGCCATTTGGTTTTGATGAAGATTGTATTAACTTTGTATATTGCATTGAGTAATGAAAGGTTAAAGTCAGTGGTATGCAGGCAAGGCTAAATAGCCATCTCAGACAGTAATTAAAGAAAATTTAAATTTATTTCAATAAAAGGGAATGGGGCATGGAGATATCCAAAGGGCAGGGTTACACAGTACTGAGCCAAAGGGTATTGGGTCCATGATGGCAGCAAAAATATTCTTAGGGCAGTGAAACAAGGAAGGGCATCGAAGAAGCAACAGGAGAGCCTGGGATGGGCTGCTTTGGCTCACTGAGAAGCCAGAGAAAAGGGGGCCTTGGAGACAGGTTCAGGGGCTTAGCCCGGGACAAGCTACAGCTGCCCATTGCTCCCTGGTTGCAAGCCTCATGGGGTCTCTTAGAGGTTAGGGGATACGTGCCTGTCGGGGGGAGGAGAAGGGGAAGGAAATGACCTTGGTGGGAGAGCAGGCTCTGGGTCCTTTGTCCTGAAAGCTTAGTTATCTCTTTCTTGCAGGTGGAAATCTTAGGGGAGATTTCAGGGGAGGGTCTTAATAGAATATTCATCAGCTTTCCAGGTGTCATCTTCTCCTCTGAGTGGTTGGTGCCAGGGCAGAGGGTCATTAGTCAGTGTCGCTGGTCCTGAGGCAGCCACAATATCACTTGTCTGGTTTTGCTGCTTTTCTGGGCCTGGAGCTGAAATGCAACTGAGACCTATCTTTAGGGAGGAGAATGTCAGGGGGTCTAAACCGCCTGGTCAGTGATATGAAAGATAAGGGGTCCAAACCACATGACCAGTGATATGCGAGGGGAGGATACGCTACCGTGGGGGCGAGGTTCTTGTTTTCCCAGTATTGACCCTGGTTAGCAACTGGGGCTTTCTGCCCTGGTGAGTTTCTGTAACGGGGCCATCATCCTTACTCTACTTAGGTCTGTCTAACAGGTAATATGCCATATTAACTTTGTTGATTCTTCCAATTAGGAACACAGAATATCTTTACATTTATTTGTGTCTTTTTCAATCTCTTTTAATAATACTTTGTAGTTTTCAGTGTATAAGTCCTTCACATCCTTTGTTAAGTTTATTTGTAGGTATTTTATTCTTTTTGTTGCAATCGCAAAAGGAATTGTTTTTTCCATTTCTTTTTCTGAAATGTCATTGTTAGTATATAGGAATGAAATGGAATTTTATACATTGGTTTTGTATTCTGCAACTCTACTGTTTATTGTTTCTAATAGTTTTGCGGTAGAGTTTTTAGTATTTTCTATATAAAAAATCAAGTCATTGCAAAAACTGACAATTTTATTTCTTCATTCCTAATTTGGATGCCTTTTATTTATCTCTTTTGTCTGATTGCACTGGCTAAGACTTCTAGTACTACATTGAATAACAGTGGTGAGAGTGGACAATGAGTTATCACCTCACACTTGCTAGAATGGCTACCATCAATCGATAAATAAACAAGTGTTGGTGAGGACGTGAAGAAAAGTTAACCTTAGTACACTTGTGGTGGGAATGCCGACTGTGCAGCCACTGTGGAAAACAGTATAGGGTTTTGTCAAAAAACTAAAAATGGAACTACCAGTGATCCCATTGTGGGACTATAATCTCAGAATCCAGAAACAGCAATCAAAAAGAATATATGCACCTGTATGTTTATAGCAGTATTATTTACAGTAGCTAAGATATGGAAACAGCCTAAATGCCCATCTGCAGATGGGTAGATAAAAAAAAAACACCCGTAGTACATTCGCACAATGGAATACTATGGGGCTGTAAAATAGGAGTTCTTAAACTTTGTGACAGCCTGGAGGGACTGGAGATTATTATACTAAGTGAAGTAAGCCAGTTAGAGAAAGACAAATACCACATGGTCTCATATGTGAAATTGAATGAACAAAATAAACTGATGAACATGGAAGCATGGAACAGAATGACAGATCTCAGAGATGGGGTGGGGGAAGGGAGTGGAGGGGATGGGAAAAAATTAGCCAAAGAACATATATGCATATATGCATAATCCATGGACACAGACAATAGTGGGGGAAGGCCTGGAGTGGGGCGGGGGTAGTGTGGAGGGAGAAAAAAGGGGCAAAATGAGGGACATCTGTAATACTGTCAACAATTTTTAAAAAGATACAGGATTCCAGAGGGTGGGTGAGCCAGATTCTTGAGGGTGGGGTAATGCTTTTCCCCATGCTGATGGCGCTGGGGGGTGATTGCTCCTTGTAGGAAAAATGGCTGCTGTGGAATGGGGAGATCGCCCAGCACAGGGATCCTTGCAGCCACTCTGCCAGGTCTCTTCCCAGTCTCTCCTCAGGTGATTTCAGTCCACATCACCCTCTCTCTGCTGGAGCCCAAGGTGAGTGGCTGGCAACAGTTTTGCACATTGGCCCTTTAAAAGGGTCGCTTTGTCTCCAGCAGGCCCACCTCTCCTTGGCGGACAGGAACCCCTCAGCCCTTCACAGGTAGATGCTACGTGGGAACTGTTCCCCACGAGGCTGGTGATGCAGACTGGGAGTGTGGTCTGGGATCTAGGCTTCGGGCCTCACAGGTTAACCTCCTGCAGTTGAGCTATCCCTTCCCTAACCTTGGCCTGTCTCCCGTGGGATGGGGCCAGTTTCTTACACGTCTAGCCCTTCCTAACAGTCTTGAGGTGGCTTCTTCTGCCAGTTGTTGGCATTCAGGTTGTCTTTAGTGGGTAATTCAGGGTGATTGTTCCCTAATTTAGTTGTGATTTCCAGTTCTCTTCTGGGAGCAAGCAAGGTCCACCTACTCCACTGCCATTTTGAACCCTGCCCATTTTTCAGTTGGATTATTTGTCTTCTTGGTGTTAAGTTGTATGAGTTCCTTATATATTTTGAAAATTAACCCCTTATCAAATGTGCTATCCCCTACAGTGGGTTCCCTTTTCATTTTATTGAGGGTTTCTTTTGCTGTGCAGAAGCTTTTGATTTTTTAAAATTTATTTGTTGTTGACACTATTACACATGTCCCCCATTTTTGCCCCCCCCTTTGCTCACTTCTACCCAACCCCCACCCCCAGCCCCCAGTACCATTTGTTTAATTTTTCTTTGTTTCCATTGCCCTAGGAGATATATTGGCAAAAATATTGCTATGAGAGATGTCTGAGACTTTACTACCTCTGATTTCTTCTAGGATTTTTATGGTTTCCTGACTTTTATCCATTTCAAGTTTAGTCTTGTATATGGTATAATTTAGTGGTATATTTTCATTTTCTTGCATGCACCTGTTCAAGTTTCCCAATATTATTTATTGAAGAGACTGTCTTACTTCATTTTATGCTCTTGGCTTCCGTATCCAATATTAATTGTCCAAAGCGGCATGGGCATATTTCTGGGCTCTCTGTTCTGTTCCACTGACCTACATACTTGTTCTTGTACCAATATCAGGCTGTTTTGATTACAATGTTCTGTAGTATAGTTTTCTTTCAGGTCTTTTGATATCTCCAACATTGTTCTTTCTCAAGATTGCTGCAGCTCTTTGGGGTCTTTTTTGGTTCCATATACATTTTTTGAATATTTGATCTAGACCTGTGAAATCTGCCATTGGTATTTTAATAGAAATTGTGTTGCACTCTCGACTGTTTTAAACCCCACCTTGGTGTCTTGTGTTTTAGCCTGAGAGGAAGTTTGGCGTGGTGGTGGTGGGCGTTGGCAGAGCCGGCTCTGTGCGGATGAGAGACTTGTGGAGCACGCATTCTTCCTCAGCGTTCCTGAACCTGATTGGCTTCGTGTCCAGGTGGCTCACACTTGCTTTTCACCTTGTAATTCATGGGGAGCCCAGTGGGATGGAGAAGGCCTGGGGATACGGAGATTCTCGTGGCCCAGGAGAGAGAATCAGCTCCAGAGTTTTCCAGAAAACTTTGCTCAGGGTTAGTCCCACAAGATCTCAAGTTCGGATAGGTCTGGGAACTGAAGCATGCTGGGATGAGCAGTGAACCAGCCTAGAAGGGACTACAGAGGCAAAGGAGGGAAGATGAGCACAGGGCCTGTAGTTACACATGGAACACAAGGGCACAGGGAACACAGGGAGGGCTGGCCTGAAAGAAGGCTTCAGGTGTGCAGCAGTTAATCACTACATCACTTATCCACGCAGTAGCCTTGAGCTTTCTGAGCCTTACCGACCATTTGACATAGATACTGTTACCATTATCAACTCCACCTTTAAGAAACTGAGCCACTTTTTGAAAGGTTGAGTCATTTGCCTGAGGTCGCACAGCTGGAAAGTCTAAGAACTGGATTTGAATGTAGGTCTATTTGATTCCAAGGCCCGTCTTTAAATACCATGTGTTCTTTTTCCTTTGGTAATTTTGAGCCCCACTTTTGGGGAGCTTCATTTCTGTCCTGTAACCAACCAAAATCAAACTTATCACCATTTGTATTATTTATTGCCCCATTTCAGCTCTTTTCTCCACCCCTCACTGCTTTCTCACACACATACTGCTCACCAAACTAATGCTATGTAACATCATTTATCAATATTAATTGTGAATTAGCTGCAGGCATTGTGTTGGCTGAGGAAATGTGGTGGTGAGTAAGGTAGGCATGTCTCTACTTTCTAGTGCTTTAGAGAAATCAAATAAATATATTTAGAAAGCATAATTAACTATTTGATAGTCCATGCAGATTCTTTTATTTATTTATTTATTTAATTTGTTTATTTAAATATATTTTTTATTGATTTTAGAGAGGAAGGGAGAGGGGGAAAGAGAGATAGAAACATCAATGGTGAGAGACAATCATTGATTGGTTGCCTCCTGCACACTCCCTACTGGGGATGGAGTCTGCAACCTGGGCATGTGCCCTTGACTGGAATCGAACCCGGGACCCTTTAGTCAGCAGGCCAATGCTGTATCCCCTGAGCCAAACCAGCTAGGGCCATGCAGATTCTTTTAATATTTTAATTTATGGGGCCTACTTTCTTCCAGTTCGCCTGTCTCAAAATTTGGCTATTCCTTTAAATATTTAAAGTGGACTTTGGGTCACTAGGGTGACTCAGAAGTTCTGGGAATCTGCAGATGGTCAATCCTCCCCTCCCAGTAAGATTCTAAGGGAGCTGCATACAAATAGGAGATCAAAAGTACCATTAGCCACACTATAACGCCCGCTGTGCCCCGGTTTGAAGCTCTCATTGAGCATGATGTAGTGAAGCTTTTCCTTTTTGCTTAAGCCTCAGCCCTCTGCCAATCGGCTGCCATGGCTGATGCAGTGGGAATCCCTAAAGTCCCCAGGTTGTGTGGGAAGATGGCCAGCTCATACCCACTGCTTTACTGCACCCTTGCCATTGTCACACTTTTCCCCTGCTCACTTACCCTGTTCCTCACGGTCTGCTAAGTCCTACCTTCTCCCCAGGAGGCCTTTTCTGAAACCCTAAACTTGATGTTTCCTGCCCTCCTTGAGTCTCCCACATGTACTCCAGCACCACAGTTCTCATGTTAGACCTGTGTTGTTGTTATTGATGTGTATGTGACTGCCTCTCTCTACAAGACTGTGAGCTCAATAGACGCTGAGGACTTTTAGTTTATTCTTTATGGTCCTCCCCATGGTGCCTAGCACACAGTCGGCAAACAATAAGTATTGGTCAAATGGAGCAGTGTAGATTGGGTAGCCCCCATAAGAAGAAACCTACCATAATCTCTTTTGGCAGCCAAACTGGCCCAAATGCCCTCTGCCTGCTGCAGCTTAAGTGGAGCTCTGCGATGGATGGGAGCCCTCTGCTGGCCGCCCCATCTCCTCTGTTGCATCCTTCATCAGAGGACTGCTCTGTTGCTCCAGCCTCTGCACAAGGGTAGCGTGCAGAATGCCAGGATCCTCAGATCTTCTAAATAAGGAGTTTCTTCTTACCCTGTAAGAGGCAAAAGGCTTAGGGTTCCTGTCCTGCTTCTGCTACTCTTTTTGGCAACTACTGCCCCTCTGGGCTTTGTCAGCTCACCTGTAAAGGAGGCAGTGATACCTGCCTTCCATTGACCATCACAAGGCCACTGATGGTTGTGAAGGAGCTTGAAGTCACACAGCAATTTGTACCTCTAAGGTGTTAATATATGGGATTCGACTTAGGTTTGGTAGCCATAGTGTTTGGCCAGGTACTTGGAGCTGGCAGTGACCATAGGGATTATTCTTCTTAAGGAAAAAGATCAATTATTTTTATTTTAGATATTAAGTGATTCAAAGACTTCCACCTCACACTGGTTGTTAGCAGTAGTATCAGCACTCATTGCCCGGTCCCATGACTTCAATCCTGAGGCTGTTTTCACTCCATCACGGAAAATGTCCTGAAGTGGGGGGAGGAAGTTAATTTTTTCTCTCCCTAAAGATGATCATCAAGACATTTCTGGGAGGAGGGAGAAAGATGATGCTCGTTTATTCTAAGTCGATGTCTGTCTACTTTTAAGTTCCATTTCTGTTATTTTCAAACAGGCGCGAGCTCAAATGCATTGATGAAGTCCAGCAGATTTCTTTGGAAGATGCTCTTTCTAGCCAAGAGGTTGACGTTGCTTATATCTGCAGTGAAAACACCAGCCATGAGGACTATATCAGGTGGGTTTCAGTGCAGGCAGTCCTGGCCTTGCACAGTAGTTCAGGACTGCAAAAATGACTGGGCAAGCTGAAGTCTCACAAATGGGTCTTAATAGTCAATGGGGAAAATTACAATGGATCCATCACCTTTAAAAATTGTCGTCTGGGGGGATGAGTTGTGTGGAGGAGAGCAAAGAGGGGAGAATGGAGGATATACTATATAATAAAAACCTAGGTGGTGTCATGCAAGGGCGACATCATCATAAGATGGCCAACACAAGATGGCTGGCAGGGGAGGGCAGTTGTGGGTGATCAGGCCAGCAGGGGAGGGCACTTGGGTATGACCAGGCCAGCAGGGGAGGGTATTTGGGGGCGACCAGCCTACATGGGAGGGCAGTTGGGTGCGACCAGGCTGGCAGGGGAGGGCAGTTGGGGGCAAACAGGCCAGAAGGGTAGGGCAGTTTGGGGGCGATTGGGCCAGAAGGGTAGGGCAGTTTGGGGGCAACCAGGCCTACAGGGGAGGGCAGTTGAGTGTGACCAGGCCGACAGGGGAGGGCAGTTAGGGGTGACCAGGCCAGCGGGGGAGGGTAGTTGGGGACGATTGGGCCATCAGGAGCGGGTAGTTGGGGGCAATCAGGCTGTCAGGGGAGCAGTTAGGTGTCAATCAGGTCAGCAGGGGAGCAGTTAGGGGGTGATCAGGCTGGCAGGTAGAAGCAGTTAGGGGCAATCAGGCAGGCAGCAGGTGAGCGGTTAAGAGTCAGCAGTCCCGGATTGTGAGAGCAATGTCTGACACAGGGATCGGGTCTAAACCAGCAGTAGGACATCCCCCAAGGGGTCTCAGATTGGGGAGTGTGCAGGCCGGGCTGAGGAACAACCCTCTCCCCCACATCCCCCCTTCCCCGTGCACGGATTTCATGCATTGGGCCTCTAGTGTGTAATAATGTCAACAATAAAAAGATGATCAAAACTTTAAAAACTTTCCTATTAGTTATAAATATGTAAGGAAGTGAAAAATATAGTAAAGTTAATACTTCTTTAGTACACTATGATTTAAAACATTAGAAATATTAAGAATGAAAGTGTTTTATTTCTTTGTAAAAAAATGTATTGAGAGTAGTTTGAACACTGTTTGCCTTTTTCTCATCATATAACTCAGGATATAAAGCCAGCATCTTCACCAAGCCAGCCACCGTGCCTTGGTGAATTGCCATCGTTTATTCTAAGTTTGGAAAAGCTTAAAAAATTTTATCCTTTGCACTTTCAACATCTGAAATATCTCTGAGAGCTCCTTTAATATGAAGTGGTTCTGCCATGAGATAAGAAAGGAAGTAGTGGTGGCATCAGAGAGGGGAGATGACTGTTTATAAAGCCAGAGAATCGAGGTGTCCCCCTGCCCCGCCTTTGAGTGAAAAGCCTAGAGCCCTGCCAGCATTCGGTGGGATTGAGCCTGGAAGGTGGAGGCCGGGGAGGACCTAGCCAGCTGTCTCCCTGAGCCTCAGCTTCCCTTCTAGGTCCCTACGTTAAACTGCTTCTGCTGTTTCCAGGAGCAAGGTGCTCCCTCTTTATCATGCCGATTGTTGTGTGGACAGAGTGTGTTTAGGAAAACCTTTCTTTGGTTTTCCTTAACCGTTTTGGTACCAGAGTGGTGTTTTCTTTTTAAAAAAAAAAAAAGTGATCATATAACTATATGCTTATACAGTTGACCTTTGAACAACACAGGTTTAAACCGCACAGGTCCACTGACATGTAGATATTTTTAAATAAATACAATTAAATTTTTTTTGGAGATTTGAGATAATTTGAAAAAATTTGTAGACAAACTGTGTAGCCTAGAAAATATCAAAAACTTTAATAAAAAGTTAGGTAGTCATGAATGCATAAAATACATATAGATGATAGTTTATTTTATCATTTACTACCATAAAATATTTACAAGTCCTATATAATAAAGAGTTAATATGCTAATTAGACCGAACAGCAGAACAACTGTCCAGACAATGTTCCAGATGAGGGCCGGCTGAGGCTGCAAGGGGCTGCGAGGGCTGGCCGAGGCAGCCGGGGATGTGAGAGGCAAGCCCCTTGCATGAATTTTGTGCCCCTTGTACGAAGTCTATTATAAAAAGCGAAAGTTTGTCCAAACTTAATCACACAAGCACAACTGTAAATGGTACCATTCATAGTTGAGAGAAATGTAAACAAATGTAAAAATGAAGTACTAAACCATAACAGTATAAAATTAACTGTAGTACATACTATAGCTATACTAATAGAAGGGTAATAAGCTAATTAGACTGGATAAACCAGATGTCTTCCGGACGTCCTTCCAGACAAAGCCACGGTGGCAGAGACTGAGGCAGAGGCAGTTAGGGTCGATCAGGCCAGCAGGGGAGAGCACTTAGGGGTGATCACTGTCCTTGTCCATAGGTGTACGATTTTTGTCCAGTCTCTTCCTGCACCCCCCCACACCCCTTTCCCCCCAAGAATTGTCACTCCCTTTCTATGCCCCTGATTCGTCAGATTTTTTATTCACTTGATTTTTACACTCACTTGTTGATAGATATGTATTTGTTGTCACTGTGTTGTTCATAATTTTTATCTTTACCTTTTTCTTCTTCTTCTTCTTCTTAAAGATTACTCTTCAGCATTTCATATAACACTGGTTTGGCGGTGATGAACTCCTTTAACTTTTTCTTATCTGTAAAGCTCTTTATCTGACCTTCAATTCTAAATGATAGATTTGCTGGATAAAGTAATCTTGGTTGTAGGTTCTTGCTATTCATCACTTTGAATATTTCTTGCCACTCCCTTCTGGCCTGCAAAGTTTCTGTTGAGAAATCAGCTGACAGTCGTATGGGTACTCCCTTGTAGGTAACTAGCTGTTTTTCTCTTGCTGCTTTTAAGATTCTCTCTTTGTCTTTTGCCTTTGGCATTTTAATTATGATGTGTCTTGGTGTGGTCCTCTTTGGATTCCTTTTGTTTGGGGTTCTCTGTGCTTCCTGGACTTGTAAGTCTATTTCTTTCACCAGGTAGGGGAAGTTTTCTGTCATTATTTCTTCAAATAGGTTTTCAATATCTTGCTCTCTCTCTTCTTCTGGCACCCCCATAATTCGGATGTTGGTACACTTGAAGTTGTCCCAGAGGCTCCTTGCACTATCTTCATATGTTTGTATTCTTTTTTCCTTTTGCTTTTCCAGTTGGGTGTTTTTTGCCTCTTCGTATTTCAAACCTTTGATTTGATTCTTGGGATCCTCTAGTCTGCTGTTGGATCTCTGTATATTATTCTTTATTTCAGTCTGTTTATGCTTAATTTCTAATTTGTCTTTTTTCATATATTTGAGGGTCTCACTATATTTCTCGGAGGTTTATAGAAGATTCTTGAGTAACCTTATAACCATGGTTTTGAATTCTATATCCAGTAGTTTGCTTTCCTCCATTTCTCTCATTTGTGACCTGTTTCTTTGTCTCTGCATTTTGGCTGCTTCCCTGTGTTGATAGAGTGGCTTTGTGTGTTAGGTGTCCTATAAGGCCCAGTGGCTCAGCCTCCCCAGTCACCTGAGGTGGATGCTCTTGGTGCACCCCTTTGTGGGCTGTGTGCACAGTCTTATTGTAGTTAAGCCTTGATTGCTGTTGGTATCACTGGGAGAAATTGACCTCCAGGCCAGTTGGCTGTGAGGACCAATTGTGTCTACAATGGGAGAACTTCTGTGCTGGAGACACCCTATGGGGCAGGACTTGCTTCAGTGGGGCTTTGGCGCTCACTGAATCAGCTCCCTGAGTGTGTCTCTTATGAATGTGAAGAGTTGTAATCTGGATGGTCTCACTCTGACCACTGGGTATATTGGCTCTTGGATCTCCAAGGAGGTGCAAAGTGAACCACTGCCTGAGGCCACCCTCAGAGATCTGCAGATTCATCCTCTTTGTTTGGGGTTTGGAGGTGCTCCAATGAAGCACAGCTGTGAAGCAATGTAGGCTGCTGAGGAGCCTTAGGCCTTATTTTGAATGCTCTGGGGTTCTCTGACACAGCTACAGTTTGACAGGTTTTTAGGCAGAGAAAGGCCAGGCCATTCGTATGCAAAAGCCTCTGTGCACAGCTTTGGTGGGGTTGTAAATTGGGTGCGGCGGGGGGTAGGGGGAAAGAGGGTGTCTCAGGGAATCACTAGGGTGAAGCAAATAGCTGGTTGCCCGTCAGCCCTGCCCCGGTAGGTCCTGGGGTCTGTGTTGTGCGTCCCCATGGAGGAACAATGAACGCTGCAAGCACCTTTGTGAGAAAGCCGCCCTCACGTTCCGGCCCAATGCCAGAGAGTACATTTCTCTCCGTATGAGTCTGGGTCCCCAAATTCTCACCTGGAACTGGATTTCAGAGCAGTCGGGAGCTTGTATCTCTCTCCCGATTGAAAAAGACAACATAGCCAGCTGCCAGCCCCTTTCGCGTGCGCCTCCTTACCTCCACACTTTCACACCTCTGCACCTCCTGCCAGACTTAATGAGCTTTTCTCTTTCCTTCTAGTTGTAGAATTTCCACTCAGCCAGCCTTCCCGTGGTTCTGGATGATATTGGTTTTGTCTTTTAGTTGTAGTTTTAGTGTGGTCGTGCGAGGCAGCACATTCAGGTGTTAACCTATGCCGCCATCTTGTTTGTCTCCATGCTCTGTGGGTTTTTTTCTCTGTCTGGAATGCTGACAGCCAGGCAACCATGGCTGCATCTCTGTGCTGTGTACCTGATCAGATATCTGGGTTCAGCCACAGCTCATACTGCCCACTTCTGCAGCAATGCCCACCGAATTTCTTTGCTTCCCCCCCGCCCCAACCCCAGCTGAAAGGAGTGTCAGCCACAACCCGATTTCTCCCCTTTCTGGGCTGAGCCCCAATGTGAGCTCCCAGCTACAAGGCTGTGTCTGTGGCTCGGCTCAGCATCTTTTCCTCCCTGGTTTGCTCTCACTTGCCTACCTTTAAATGTTCCAATATATGACCTCTCAGGTGCATTTGTGCATTGAACAGGGAATCTTTTGTTAAATTATAGCTGTTTGAATAGTTTAAACTTCAAAGGGTCATCTCTCATGTTGCCATTCTTCTGATGTCATTCAACATTTTTTTCTCTCTAGCTATTGCATTGTAAGAATACATATAACATATAGGGTGTCCCAAAATTCACGCACGATTTGCAATTCAATTCAATTGCAAATCTTGCGTGAATTTTGGGACACCCTATATAAAATATGTGGTAATAAACTATTTATATTGTTGATGCAGCTTCCAGTCAAATGTAGGCTAATAGTACTTAAGTTTTGGGGAAGTCAAAGTTACATGCAGATTTTCAACTGTGTGGGAGATTGGTGCTTTGTTCAAGGATAAACTGTAAACGTTTATACCCTAGAATATCTAGGGAACAATGTCCAAATTTCTGAGCACAGCATTCTAAATCCTTCACAGTCAGGCTCCCAGCTACTAGTATTACCTCATTTCCCTTTACTCCCTATAGCTCATGCTGAAGTTCTTATCATAATCCAAATGAACAACGCCCCAGAAAATGCCCAAGCCCCTGCATATTCTGCATAAAGTGAAATATGCTCATTCCATTGCACCTGAAAAATGTTACTCATAATTCAAGAGTCGGTTCAGTTGTCGTTAGTGAAATCTTTTTAGACTGCCTCAGACAGAGCTAGCCGCTGTGGGTTTTGTAGTTTTCATTTATGGCTATCATGGGGTAACTGGCAAGTTAGCTGTCAGCGTGTCTTTATTTCTTCTCCAAAATAACTGGTAAATAGAACCTGGTTGACTATGTGAGTGGTTGAATAAGCAAAATTTTAAATTATCAGAAAATCATTCTCTTACAGTATAGTAGGAAATAATGTGAAGTACATTTCATCACCGTTATCTTCTGGTTTTGATTCACCTGTATGGCACATTTGCACACCTAGACTTTGGTGCATTTATAACATTTTGTACTCTTTCATGCAATGCATTTCAGTGCAGCTTATTTGAAGTGTATTCTCTCTATATCTCTTGTTTCCAAAGGCAGTTCCTTAATGCTGGCAAGCATGTCCTTGTGGAATACCCTATGGCGCTGTCTTGGACAGCAGCTCAGGACCTGTGGGAGCTAGCTGAACAGAAAGGTGATGTATGTTCTATCTGTCTAGAGCACAGTCCCTGTTTCTGAGTTACCGTCACTAAGAATTCTGTGGTATCTTTATTCCTTTATAGTTTATCCCCATATCATATATATTACTGATACAAAAGGCTCCCAACACTCCCCACCTCACTACTGTAGGCACATTAAAGGGATATGTGGAGTGCCAACAGGGCAGAGGGATGGGTGGGAATTTACAAACTTTTTTTTGAGACTTGTCAGCTTTTTTTTTACTCTATTAGTTTCCACCTGTGGTAGTATCATGATATGATTTTAGTTTTATTCATGTGATATTTATATTGCTAATGGAAAAATGCCCAGATCAGAGTAATGAATTATTTTATATTCACATTTTGTAGTTGTTATTTTTTCTTAAGAGGAATACTATTTATAATATTATATGCTAGGCTTTTTGCTAATTACAAAAAATGAAATTGTCCCTTTGCAATGAAGAGCTCTGGTGTTACCATCCTAACCAAATGACGCTAATATGGATCATTCTGACACTGTGAGCCATCTGGTGTGATGTACATAGCATCCACATATAATTAATATTTAAATTAAATTTTCAGTTTGCAGGAAACATAGGGGTAAAAGTGACACCAAATAATAAAATCAAACAAACAAGAATGTGGAATACTCTGCAAGATAACAGGCTAAGTGTTTTCAAGAAGATAATGTCCTGCATGTAGTGAGTTTCTTCCAAAGAGCACAAGATGAAAAGGAGAAAAAAAGAGTAACTTTACATGGGAGAAAATAGACAGAAACTGCCTAAGCCAGGTGGTCATGATATAGTGATAAGTCATGTTAATAGCATGTACCTACGACCCGGGCCTCCCTCCCTCTGGCCAGCCACAGGCACCTGGGACAGCAGGTGGCTTCCTCCAGGCCAGGCCCTGGCTTTGTCAGGAAGAATGTCTGGAATGACTTCCGGAAGACATCCGGTCTAGCTGGTCTAATTAGCATATTATCCTTTTATTAGTATAGATTGCTATGAGAAATGTCTAAGATTATACTGCCTATGTTTTCTTCTAGCAGTTTGATGGTTTCAAGTCTAACATTTAAGTCTTTAATCCATTTTGAGTTTATTTTTGTGTATGGTGTAAGAAGTTTGTCTAGTTTAATTTTGTTGTACATATCTGTCCAATTTTCTCAAAGACATTTATACTTTGAATGCTAGTTTGGGGACTGTTACTAGTAAAAACAAGGAGAGCGCCAGCAAGAGTGCATTACTGCAGATAGCCATGGCGGAAGAAAGAGGGGGGTCAGGAGGGGGAAGGGCAGCAAGTGATTACAGGTTCTTGAGAACAGGAACAAACCTCTTTAATTTGGAAATTATACATATAATCCCAGAGATGGTACATTCCAGGAAAATTTTGGTAATCCCTCCTCCCCAGAATTTTTTTGCCTGGCTGAGTGGTGAAAGTCTCTTTTACAAAACTAGTCTGTAAAGACTGGGAAATGTGCCTGTTTTGTCCAATATTCAAAACTCAACAAATAATCACAAGGAAAACAAAGAAAGAGGAAAATAGCCTAATGAAACATTTTCTGAAACTGACCCTCAGAAATGCAGACCTATGAATTATCTGAAAAAAAATTAAAAATAACTCTGTAGGAGAACCAAGATGGCGGCATAGGTTAATGCCGGAGTTTGCTGCCTTGAACAACTACTTCAAAAGTGAAACTAAAAGACAGAACGGACATCACCCAGAACCACAGGAACGCTGGCTGAGTGGAAGTCCTACAACTAGAAGGAAAGAGAAACGCATACGGACACTCAGAGGAGGTGCAGTGCTGAAGTCAAATTCTGAGGTGCGGAGTGCGCGGAGCGGGCTGGCGGCGGAGGGCGCAGTTGGCGTTTTCAATCGGGAGGGAGTCGCAGACTCTGAGCTCCAGATACGGGCGAGTCTCAAATGGGAGAAGCGGGACTGTCTGGCTTCGGTCAGAGCGAGTGCAGCTTTCTCTCTGAGGTTTGCAGCGGGTGCTGGGACTCAGAGAGGCAGAGCCCCTGGGGACAGGACTGAGAGCTGCCATAACTGCTCTCTCCGGCCCACCCTGTTGATCCTGTGCGACCCGCCCTGCCCAAGCCCTGCACAGAGCCATTTGCCGGATAGCCTCAGGCAAAGGCTAGATTAGCATCTCCCTAGAGGACAGAAGTTCTCTCACTGCAGACACAGCTAATTCTCACAGCCACTTGGCCTGGAGGTCAAACCCTCCCTCGTATTAGCTACAACAATCAAGGCTTAACTACAAGACTGCGCACAAAGACCACTAGGGGGTGCACCAAGAAAGCATAAAAAAAATGCGGAGACAAAGAAACAGGACAAAATTGTCAATGGAAGATATAGAGTTCAGAACCACACTTTTAAGGTCTCTCAAGAACTGTTTAGAAGCCGCCGATAAACTTAATGAGATCTACAAGAAAACTAATGAGACCCTCGATGTTATGATGGGGAACCAACTAGAAATTAAGCATACACTGACTGAAATAAAGAATACTATACAGACTCCCAACAGCAGACCAGAGGAGCGCAAGAATCAAGTCAATGATTTGAACTGCGAGGAAGCAAAAAACACCCAACCGGAGGGGCGGAATGAAAAAAGAATCCAAAAATGCGAGGATAGTGTAAGGAGCCTCTGGGACAGCTTCAAGCGTACCAACATCAGAATTATAGGGGTGCCAGAAGATGAGAGAGAGCAAGATATTGAAAACCTATTTGAAGAAATAATGACAGAAAACTTCCCCCACCTGGTGAAAGAAATGGACTTACAGGTCCAAGAAGCGCGGAGAACCCCAAACAAAAGGAATCCAAAGAGGACCACACCAAGACACATCATAATTAAAATGCCAAGAGCAAAAGACAAAGAGAGAATCTTAAAAACAGCAAGAGAAAGAAACTCAGTTACCTACAAGGGAATACCCATACGACTGTCAGCTGATTTCTCAACAGAAACTTTGCAGGCCAGAAGGGAGTGGCAAGAAATATTCAAAGTGATGAATAGCAAGAACCTACAACCAAGATTACTTTATCCAGCAAAGCTATCATTCAGAACGGAAGGTCAGATAAAGAGCTTCACAGATAAGGAAAAACTAAAGGAGTTCATCACCACCAAACCAGGATTATATGAAATGCTGAAAGGTATCCTTTAAGAAGAGGAAGAGGAAGAAAAAGGTAAAGATTCAAATTATGAACAACAAATATGCATCTATCAACAAGTGAATCTAAGAATCAAGTGAATAAATAATCTGATGAACAGAATGAACTGGTGATTATAATAGAATCAGGGACATAGAAAGGGAATGGACTGACTATTCTTGGGGGGGAAAGGGGTGTGGGAGATGCGGGAAGAGACTGGACAAAAATCGTGCACCTATGGATGAGGACAGTGGGTGGGAAGTGAGGGCGGAGGGTGGGGCGGGAACTGGGAGGAGGGGAGTTATGGGGGGAAAATAGAGGAACAAATGTAATAATCTGAACAATAAAGATTTAATTTAAAAAAAATAACTCTGTAAAAGATACACAGTCAGCTAAGAGAAACCACAAATAAACAAGAATCAGGAAAACCGTACATGAGCAAAATTAAAATATATCAACAAAGAGATGTAAACTATAAGAAGTACCAAACAAATTCTGGAGCTGAAGAGCCAACAAGAAGGGTTTAACAACAACCTTGATCAACCAAATGAAGAAAAGACCAAACTTGGATGGATCATTTGAAATTTGATTCATAAGGACAAAGAGAAAAAACAATGAAGAACAGTGAAGAAATCTTAAGGAATTATGGGATACCATCAAGCAGATCAATATATGCCACAAAGGGAAAGGAGAGAAAAGGGCAGAGAGCTTATTTAAAGAAATAATGGTTGAAAACTTCCAAAAATGTGACAAATGAAATGATATACAATTTTCAGAAACTTAATGAACTCTAACTAGAATAAACCTCGAGACTCACACCAAGACACATAATCACAGCTTCAAAAGTCACAGATAAGGGCAGACTCTTGAAAAAAAAAGCAAGAGAAAAGTGACTCATTATATACAAGAAAGCTCCTTTAAGATTATCAGCAGAATTCTCAGCAAGAATGATGGTCAGATGTATTCAAAGTATTGAAAGAAAAAAAAAAATCTGCCAAACAAGAATACAATATTGAGCAGAACTGTCCTTCAGAAATGAAAGCAGAACTAAACTTTCCCAGACAAACAAAAGCTGAGTGAATTAATCACCACTAGACCTACTAGTACCCTAGAAGAATTGCTAAAGGAAGTTCCTTCAAATTAAAACAAAAGGATACTAGGCAGCAACAGGAAGGCATACAAACTTATAAAAAGAGCTCCCTGGTACAGGTAAATGTAAAGACAAATACAGAAACCTGTAAGGGAGAATGACTACAGCAGAATGGCAGCAGGAGAAGTTCCCCTGGTCTTTCTTTTTGAAGTTACAATAATTTGAACAGTGATAATTGAACAGAGAATTCCCTGATGAATACAAACACATCTGAGAGATTTGTGCATTGAAACATCTGAAAGTGGGTGAGTGGGAGCAAGTGGGGAACGAGGCGGGGGAAGGGGGAGGGTAGAAGAGCAGAGACGGGTACCACAGATGCAGCCCTTTGAGTCTTGAAAGGGGGGAGGAATCAGGTTGCCATCTGTATTTCCTGCAGCCCAGAGGAGCAAAGAGATACAGTGAACGTTCCTGCCAGAGTGGTTGGTACACAGTGCACTAAACCCAGTGACCAGTGCAGAAACGAAGCACAGAGATGCCGTTGTCTGGTGGCCCCTTAGTCAGGCAGAACAAGCCATGGAGCCTGGCCACCTCCCTTCACCCTTCCAGAGGTAGCAGGTAGGAGAAGCTACAGCTGTGAGCACTGGGCTATAAAACACATGACCTGCAAACCCTAGGACTGGAGTGACAGCAGGACTTTTTCCCCTGAATGGCAGGTACATGCGGCAGTTAATCCTAGTGATGGGTGGAGATACAGAGGTG